TAAAACTGCCCTTGCATGTACAGATATTCTTCTTTCTTGTGTTTGCGTGAAATTTTCGTGTTTAAAAGAGTTCTTTTTGCTGCATGTGCCGAAGATAGAAACGCACGTTTTACATTTTACGTGCTGCGAAAACATGGAGAAAGTGGCAAGAACTTATGCAATTCAATAGCCGAAATTCGTAATCACCAAAGAAAAATGTCATTCTACACTTTTAATTTCTTAACAGAGGCACTGAAAGAGTTCGAGTTATCCTCACATGTCCCCCACATATCTACTCATCAATCGTCTCAATGAAGTTAATTTAATGAATTTTTTGTTTAGAAACAATTTTGAATAAACATAAACAACAACAACAAAGGCATCAGTTCGAGTTTAAAATCAAAGTTACACAATGACAGATAGCAAGCTTGACTCTCCACCTATCCGGCAGCGATTGCTTCGGCACAGGGAGCCTCTTCGAGTCGCAATAGATATTTCAATAACTTACGTCTTGTCGAGAGCAAAGAGTAATAAGTGGACAGAGTTGGGTCACTCATTCCAAGCCATTCGATTCAAATTTGAACTAATGTAGTGTTCTTTCCGAAGAGTATCCCATATTTTTAAGCCTACGAGTATGTTGATCAAATATACACTGGACATATATTTGACATTTGAACTTGTCAAGACCAAGTAAACGACACCTATGAGTTTTCTGCATTTCTCTGAAATGTCACAGTATACTTTTGGAAACTGTTATGCAATGAAATTAAATTTATTATAGCATATAATAAAATCATTTATTGTCAATAAGAAAATTGAGCAAAATTATTATAGAAATTTTTTTTAGTCGTATAATGTCCTTGTTAAAGGGAGATGACGTACGGAACTCGAAACGAGAATAGAGATTTCATAAGTGTTTTGATATATCTCATATATATGTATATTTATATATATATATACATATATATATATATATATATGTATATATATATGAATACATGTAATAACAATTCGCAATGTAAGCGCAATATGTTTGTGTAAACGTGTAAACAAGGCAAACGAGATAAACACACAAATATACAAATGGAATAGAAAACATTGACAATGGACCAAATGTTCAATGGCAAAGTCAAACAAATGTCAACTATCTGAACAAAGGAAATATAAAGAAAAGAAAATTTAATTTAAAATTGAGAAATAAGTGCACGCACACTATAGAGCATTTAGTCTCGAGACGTAGGGGACTTTTAAAGAATTTTTTTTTTTTTTTTTTTTTTTAATAGCACAAAGTATCTAAGATTTAATTTTTTGGATTTAAAAAACAATCGCATACGGTAATATTCGGATGTAGGTTAAACCCGTTCAGAAATATCTTGAATTTTATTAACTGTACTCGAGATAGTATTAATGAAATTTTAGGTTTTCGTAATAGTTTTTGAACTTTTTCTGAGGCTTTCTTGATTTGAGTAAGAGGAAGAAACGAAGTGGTTTTTCTACTTCGTATATAACGGCATATTAAAGGACAAAAGAATAGGTAAAGAAATACAGGGATAGATGGCCAAATGAACTGACGGACTGACGAAACGCTCACTTCATCACCTGATGAACAAAAAGCAAATATTTAAACACATATCGCGCACTTGATAATTGCAAAGCTGAGTCGACAGCGAGCGCAAATGCAATCCCTTTGCAGCATGCGTTGTTATGTGCGAGCAAATTGAATTATTTGAAATGTTAAGCGTAGTCGGGTGGACTCGACAATATTGGGGGCCAGCGGTTGCCCACGTCTGACATACACTATACGGCAAACCCGAAGAAAGAAAAAAGAAAAACAATCTCGATATATATATATATATATATATATATATATATATATATACATACATATATATGTGCTCAACATACGTTGCAAGGCGTAAATTATTTTTTTGATGATTTTTAATATTGTGTAAATTCCCACACGTTGAAAGACAATCAGATCAATTCTCAACGCAATTAAGTACGCAGTGCTATCTAATTATAAAGAATACTGAGAGATGTCTGAGTGTTTATTTAAAGTCAAGTGTTATGAACTATCTTTAATGCGTAACTCATATTCTCATAGTGTCTCCACGAGTATAGATTGTTATAATGCATAATATATGTAATTTGTTTGGAGTTACTATGTTCGCTTATATAGGCGATTGTGTTCACATGTAATTCGATTCGAGTCTGCATGCGGATAACGTACCAATAATATATATATTTATATGTATGTAAGTGTGTATATCTCTATTTGCACTATATATTCATATATGGATATGTGAGGACATGAGTTCATATATACCACACATTTCAACAATTCTCTTGTGAGGGCTTCCTACAAAAATTTCTTATTAGTTCATACAATAACAACTTGAAACTTCTCCAATACTTTTCTACATAACTATATGTCATATCAGATACCGATTTTTCAAAAGGGTAGCATTTGTGTGGAAGTCCTGACTTCAGCTTCACGCTATGAAACAAGTTACTCCGTGAAAGTGAACACAACATGCTTTTGGTGGGCTTTAAACAAATTTGGATAGAAATGTGGAAGCTTTGGGTCATGAGGGCGAGAAATAAAAGTGTATGCCGGGCAAGGGGGAACCGTTACTATCGGCGTTAAAGCCGAATATTTTCGGCCTTCCCATCTGGGAAAATTAGTTGGGTGTAGTAAGCTCTGAATTGCTCCAAAAAAAATCAGAAAAGTTAATCACTACTGGCTACTGACTGGAGAGCTGATAGCTAAAACAAAAGCGGCCGCAATATGCGAAAAGGTATTATGTGCTAGTTTTTCTACGTCTAGAAAGCATATTAGGGAACTCAAATCAACACTATCAAACTGGAATCTATGGCAACCTTCAGACATTCGCCAGACATTCATTTATTTGGTAAACTAACGCTTGTCTCAATCGATGCTTTGTCGACTGTCTGGCCGGCGCCAGAGATGTGACCAGATCCAAAAATGTTTACTTGAATAGATAGGCCCAAAAGACCACGTTTCCTATTCGCAATGAATTCACATTCTATTAGGGAGAAAAAAGAAAAATGCTGAACCATGCTTTGCACAAAATAAATATATATGTATGTGGCTTGTTTTTATGCGTAAAGAAAAAAAAAAAAGGACGATAAACAGGTAGGAGTTATTTTTGCACACAGTAGCGTCGCTGTCTGTCGAAGCAAAGTTATTCAATCCCAACTGAGCAACTAACTGAACGTATTTTATTTATTATACATAAAGCAAAGCGGGCAAGACCAAAGCGGTTAGGACAACCATTGCAGTCAGTTTAGCTGGCTCGTATACAAAGACCTTCGGTCAATATTTTATGAATGCATATTATTTTATATTTTTTCTCTCTTATTTTTCTATTTTATTTTTCCGCTTCTTTTGCGTTTGTGCGCGCATGTGTATGTAATTGTTTGTTCATTTTTATTAGGCAATAATATTTTCTTGTATGGCATTTATGGGCAAAGATTGTGCCTCAGTGTTTGCGTCCATAAAAATGCGAATCTTCGCTTAGTACAAACATATTTTTAATAATTCCTTGTAAATCATCGAAAGTATTTTTTCTCCCCCACGATTCCAAACGAACGTAGGGCAAAACAAATACCGTTAAATTAAATAAATCCTAACCAAAAGAAAAAAAAAAAAAAGACGAACTAATAATAATTTATTGTACCATAGTTTGTAGAAAATGCCCCTTAAGCCATACGTATCGATATAAGCACAAGTAAAAACACTATAGTGGGCCACTGACGACCTTACAGTGACTCGTAAATTGACTTTTCAAAGCAAGGCCTTATATGGTAATGAATTGAAAAAACGTTCTGAACCGAACGATTGCTATTGGATCCTTGGACCTAAACTTTATCAAAATATTTCAAAAATGGCGACTTGTAGTATGCGCACAAGGGAAAAAAACGGATAAAGGGTCAGATAAGTTTAAATCGATTCGGTATCGAGAAAATGATACTAAAATCGATCGGTATAATAAGAGCCGGATATAGCTGAAGCACTGCGGGATGTTGCATACAGCCGCGCAAACTTAACATACCCTTGTACCGAAAGCGACTTACTGACGCACACTTGTTTTATAAATAAAGTTTTACGATTAATTGAATTATTGCTAAGAGTCAAAATTGATGCCAGAAACGAAAGAAGGGAACTCTTGTATGTATTCGTAGTTTGGAATCCTTATGTCCACATAAGCGTGTTCTACTTCTAATAGTCTTGTACGTCAATTCTTTCTGTTTGCGCTAAAAAGATGCGAAGCTATTAAGCTATTACGGTAAACCAAAAATATGATTAAGTAAATAGTATACGATATAAATCGATCAAAGACGAGGATAACAATAAGAAAATATTCAGTAAAATTGGGTAAAGAAGAATTGCCTTAAAACAAACAATGCAGCAACTTGTAAATAATTTTCTTATATGATAAGCAATAATGAAATAAAACTTTCAAATAACATATGAAACACATCAAGATGTGACTCGAATCAACCATCAATATATTATGGTATTAGTTAACTTGGGTTAAAAGCCAGGCACGGTGACGACAAATCGACCATCATTTTTAACGAAATCGATGCTGAATGGATCTCGGAAATTTGGATAGGCAGGGATCATATTTTAAATTGCATTTCTTATAAAAGGTCTTGCAAAAAAAAAAAAAGAAAAGACGAACAAAGTAAGCCCCTAATGATAAGCTTTTGCCCGGAATAGTGACTTTTTTTGTTGTGTTAAATTTGAACCACGTTGGTTGATTGTGCGTGTCCTCCACATGAAAGGGCTCTTGTGAAAAGTAAGCCCTTATATGGCAACAAGGTATAATTTGTGGTATCTTGAAGAGAAGAATAACTGGAAAATTGCAATAGTCAGTCGTAGAGAGATACGGATGGGGCATATAGGGAATAATTGGTTTCGGGCGACAATAAAGTTTTAAACTGTCAAGTTGAATTTTCAACTCAAACGTAATATAAATTTTTCATTTTTATAGAATGTTGGTCGCGTTCTGAGACGTACTCGATTGGCGGAAAATTTAGATCTAACTCAAGTCACTGTGCCAATTGGTGTATTGTTAGTGATATTCGAATCTCGACCGGATTCATTACCTCAGGTCGCTTCACTTGCTATAGCATCGGGTAATGGTTTATTACTGAAGGGCGGCAAAGAGGCAGCCAATAGTAATAAAGCGCTAATGGAGCTTGTTAAAGAATCTCTGACAACGGTTGGTGCTGAGAAGGCGGTATCATTGGTAAAACGATTGTTTGCATATATCTTCCTTTACACATATAGGTTATCGGTCTTTTCTTTTATATAGGTTTCAACGCGCGAAGAAATTAGCGATTTGTTGTCGATGGACGATCATATCGATTTAATTATACCACGTGGTTCTTCAGATTTGGTACGTAGCATCCAACAACAATCGTTGCATATACCCGTTTTAGGTCATGCTGAAGGCGTTTGTCATGTTTTCATTGACAAGGATGCTGACATCCAAAAAGCCTTGAAAATTGCACGCGATGCTAAATGTGATTACCCAGCAGGTATGCAAAAAAAAAAAAAAAAAAAAAAACAAAATGTAAACGATATCGTCACGGTAAAGTCAATCAATTGCAAGCATCTAGAAATATATGAATATTTCGTTTAAAATTTGAAATTCATTTATGACAATAACTAAACCTTGTCATCTTTCTATCTGCGCCCTTTGTAAGCGAAATATTCAAAATCATAATAACAAAAAAAATGCAAAACTTTCGCGAGAGCAAACGCTGAGCGTTGTTGCTTACTTTCCGTGTACGCATATACGCAGTATCTGAGAAATGCTCGTTGCTAAAACTGACAAGTTTTATGTTCTTTTTGTTTTTTCATCATTTATTTATTCATTTATTTTTATTTTTCTTCTGTTTCAAAGAGTATTGCGATCGCACTTACTAACCTTTCTTCTATTTTTTGTGGTTTTTTTTTTTTTTTTTTTTGTTACCAAAAAATATTCCACACACAACCAGCAAAGTAGATTCGAGTTGTTAAAGTAACTATGTTCGATTTTGATATGCATGTGTGTATGTAAGTACCACAATTTAGATACTAGTAAAAGTATTGACTAAATGTGAAAATTAGGGCTGAGTACGAGGTATATATGTATGCCTTTTCAAGGATCTCTCTCTGCCTCTCTCTCTCTCTCTCTATCTCTCTCTTTCTTTCTTTCGTTCTCTTTCTTTCTTTCTCTTTCTCCTTAGTTATATTAATGCATAAGTGTATGTACATGTATGTATATTTCGAACGACTAACAATTCGCGCGTAAACTTTATGCATGTGTACGCGTGTATGGAAGTAAGCGTATATGTAAATGCATATGTGCCAGTTACTGAAATTATAAAATGATTCAAACGCAAATACATACTCTCTAGGACGCTATGTATGCGCTATTTTACTATGAAGGAGAATTAACAAGTTTCGGAAAAGTTTCAACTTGAAATTTTTGTTGATAGCCCCATACACTTAATGTATGTTGTATAGTGTTTGCATATACACATCTTTTGCATATGTATATGTAGTGATAATATAGATGTATAATGGAATAAGTATGAATGCAGATAGACAAGCAATTTGCCATTCATTAGAGCTCCTGTAAATAAATGAATAATAGATTTCTCTCACACATATATATGCACTTGCTTGCGTTTGTTCTCCATTTCAGCTTGCAACGCGATGGAAACTTTACTGATTCATGAGGATTTAATGAGCGGCGACATTTTCAACGATGTTTGCAATATGTTGAAACGTGAAGGGGTTAAAATTTATTCGGGTCCTAAATTGAATCAATTGCTCACCTTTGGCCCACCGGCAGCGAAGAGTCTAAAGCATGAATATGGCGCCCTGGAGTGTTGCATTGAAATTGTTAAGGATCTGGACGATGCCGTTAATCATATACATACCTATGGCAGCGGTCACACCGAAGTCATTGTAACGGAAAATGGTATGAATTTTTATAAAATGCGTGTGTATATGTTTGTCTCTCTCTCTCTCTCTCTCTCTCTCTCTCTCTCTCTCTGTGTCTGTGTGTGTGTGTGTGTGTGTGTGTGTATTTGTCAACATTTTAATTATTATTCATTTATTTTCTTGTTATTCCAAAATAATAAATGGATGTACGGCAGGTTTAACATCGGCTTTGAAAATTGAAAATTAATCGTTTTTCAGGTAAATATAACAATGCCTCTTGGCGGTAAGCACAATTCACTACGTTACGTAGGCAATAAAAGACGTTCATAGTGAAGCTTGCATTTAACGTCACTTTCGATTTTTAGCGTTATGACGGATCACGAAGCTGATCTATTTTAATTGTTGAACAAAACTTCCTTTGCACAAACTTAAATTTTATTCGTAGCATACGTTGGAGGTTACTTTCGCTTTACTTTTCTAACCTAGCAAATATATTTGAATAACAAGAAAGTTTCGAAACTTTGTTTCAAAGACTGCGCTGTAAATGGCTAATAATTTGTAATTTTCATACAACCTAAGCTTTAGCTGACTTCGCTCGTGCGTAATACATGAAAATAGTATTGGATGTAAAAATTTTGATTTTCGACATGATTTCTTGTTTGGATAGACATCTCACTCAGTGTGATCTTCAACCAGCTAAGACCGCTGGCGCGATATAAACTCAACATTTGTCCAGTGACTGTTCTCGAGACATTCATGGAAACATTAGATTTACATACAATAGCTATATATATGTAATGGGAGAATCACAAAAAAATAATAAGCTATTTACCGGGATTCCCCAGAAGTATTATCGGTGATAATCATTGGGTTCTGCTTACAAACTGCCGCAAACTTAAAACCCTTAAGGAAGACGATCTCTTTACTTTCATTTTACATTTTTCTTCAATCAATTTCTTAACCAGCTAAGGCATTTCATGCATTTAAATAATCGCCCGCAACTAAGCGAAATTTTTTGTGTAACCGAAGTCAACAAAAATGTTCTAACTTTTATGTGAAGAAAATGAATTTAATTTCGAACAAAATATAGATTTTGCTGTGGACTTCATTGAATCTGAAATATTTTCATATCCACCATCGGAGTATTCGATAATCTAGATTAGAGTATCGAACGCTCAATCAACCAGAGCATATACGTTTGTCCGTCTGTTTATCTGTGCAAAGATATGTGCTAAACATTTTCCGAGTCACAAAAATTAAGATATGGTAAGTGCTTGCACACAAGTCCAAATCGCTAACAGAACACCATTACAGTGCAAGACACATTGAAGACACCTTTGCTCTTTAAAAGCAATACCTATTCTGATTCTTTGTCAATTAATCACAAAACAGAGCATAAATAATAAATAAATATTTTTATGCGCACTCAAGGAGTGAGCCTACAATACATGAGAAATAGGTCCTATCGATCCAATATTATTATATATATTATAATAGAATATCGTAAACTTATTTCTTTCCTTTTCATTTTTTTTTTTTTCAAGCTAAAGTTGTGAAGTGTAAAAGATTCGGCCACAACCGATCTGCTAGGCTTTGCTATAGACATTATAGACATGCTAGGTATAGCGGCGCAACAATTCTTTATGCTCAATTAAGTTTATAATGAAGTTCAAATTGTTTACCGGTAGGTAGGATACACAAATAAATTTATCTCCTCCAAAACAAATGCAAATGTGTTATAATACTTTTTAAAATACTTCATGAATTATTGTCGTTCTGATTGCTAAGCAAAATGAGCCGAAAACCTGCAGTAAATAAAAGAAAAAATGTTAATTACCTGTAAATTGTAATTACCAGTGAATTATTGTGAAGCATTTATGTTTAATTGTTTGTATATTTTATTACTGCTGCGATTAATTGGTTATACAATTATAATTCCGTTCTTTATTTTCACGTTTAATAGACACTGCTGCTCAGCATTTCCTTAAATCGGTTGATAGTGCTTGCGTTTTCCATAATGCCAGTTCGCGGTTCGCTGATGGATTCCGTTTCGGTTTGGGTGCGGAGGTTGGCATTTCGACGGCTCGCATTCATGCTCGCGGTCCAGTGGGTGTTGAAGGTCTCCTAACTACTAAATGGATTTTACGCGGCCGTGATCACACTGCTGCTGATTTTGCTGAGGGTGGCGGTTCGGTTTGGTTGCACGAATCCTTGCCCGTGTAAACTATACTTTTGATTGACTATTATGTGAGAAGTTTCGTTCTTTTTTTTTTTTTTTTTTTTCTTCTTCTTCTTCTTCTCGTTTTCTAGTTAAGCTATATAAGTGGTTTTTATGTTTTGTTTTTTAATTTTTCCCCAATTTTTTTGTTTTTCTTTTTTATAATTATCAACAACAGTAACTCAACAACTTGTAAATTTTTATAACTTTTTCTTAATAAATTTCCTTTTGTACCTTGTTTTGTTTGCATCTTTTTCCCCTATTTATCAGATTAGCAATCATTAAATGAGAAAAACAATAATATATATGTATATATATATATATATATGTAAGTATATGTTTATACTTACATTGATGTAAATTTCTATTTTCTATGCATTTATACGTTTGTGTGTGTTTATTTACATAAAATAAAATTGATTGATGTTAGCCTTCTTATGCCTTAGCTTCTTTTCTTTTTGACATGTTCAACCTTTATTTTCTTTACAACTTATTTTTAACCATAAGAAATTAAAATTCACTCGAAAAATAAAATGGAAAACAAAGCTTAAAATGCAGCTGAATGTGGTCAATAGTTAAATATTTATAGCATCCCCTACAAATATTTGAAATCAACTTTAATATGTAGCCTTATAGGAAGAAAAATTTTCCAAACGTTTTATTACTCTAACTCAACCGATTTATACCATTTTTATTCCCCAACTTTCTGTTGATTCTGCTATGGATAACAATTGAGGCAATTGCGAGCTTAATTGTTAGATTTTTAAATTTCATGCCTGACTATGTTGACTAATAAAATTCGTCATCCATAAACACTGTGACCTTAAATTCAGAGAACCAGGGTTAAAGGGTCCAAAAAAAAAAAAAAATAAATAAATAAATATAATGTCCTTTATTATAAACTCCCTTTCTTCCAGAGCTTCTTCAATTCATTCAGTCCGTCTCTTCAGTGATTTACCTTAAGGTGCACAAAATACTCATATATATCCGCTATAAATTTCTAATTTGATGAAAAGAACAAAACCAAGTAAGAAAAATTCGGTCGAAACCGAATCCTTTATACCCATTACCGTCTACCCCCAAAAAAAACGCAAATGAAGTAAAAGAACAAAATTCTCATTCTCTATAATATGGAGTGGGCGCACTTGATTACTTCTATATACAAACTAAAAGTTTTTGTCTCAGAGGCATATAGGCGTTGTAGGTGCGACCTTTGAAAAGTTTAGGTCAATTCCAAATCCTTTTTCAAATTTTTAAGCGATACATTCATTTTCACTAATGGGAGAATGTTTACAACAAATACTACAAAATTGCGCAAACAGACAGATGGACATGTTTAGATGCATTCAAGATTTCAAACTGGCCAAGAATTTATGGGGTTTTTGTAGCTTAATACGCTATAATATTGGAAAATTCTTTCCATTTTTAGGCACAAATACCAGTGCATCGCCCAATTTATTTGCTATATTTTATGAGTAATGAGCGAAAAACCAATTTGTCATTCCATTTGAAAGATTAGTTTACGTGATGCTGTGAGCGTGTCTTTCAACCGATTTGGCCCAATTTCAACCAACGGGGACCAACGGGCAACAATTTGCATTGTTTCTGTCCTTATTCAAAGTTCATTTTTGCGCCCAAGAGAATGTTTACAAGAGACATCATACAGACGGACAGATAGTCAGACGGACAGATGGACATGCTTAAATCGATTTAGGATTTGATGCTGGCCGATAATATATGTGCTTTGTGGAATCACTGATGCACTCTTACTGGGCGTTGCAAACGTTTTCACAAAATGAACATATCCCTCATCATTATGATGGGTATAATAATAATAATCGAGAGTAAAAATATTTTAAATATTTAGAAACAGTAGAAAACATAACCTGAATCTAGCTTGTATGGTGAATTTTTCAAATAATTCATATTACGAAACCAAGGATGACTTAGCTGGAGCCTGGACAGTGTGGTTTGAGCGCCTCCTCCCATCCCTATTCGTTCACCTGGAGTCCATAAATTCTGGCAGCTTACGAATGCCGCAATGACTTATTATTGTTGTTAATTAGTTATCATATTAAAAAAATGTGAGAATTAAAAAAACCTTCCATCTCTGCGCCAGCATTTGTCAGGCATCCTTCATACTCGAAACATTACATCGTGCAAATATGCCTGCATTGTATCTAAGCAATCAAATCTGGCATACAATCTAATGGCGGCGATTACAAGATATCGCCCAAGTTGAATTTGACTTCTACCCGCTAGTCATGGCGAGATGATTTGATTTTTATTTTCAAATGCAAATACGTATAAATTAGATTGCGAGTGAGTATAATAAAAAGATTTTAATCAATAAATAGTATGTGCAATACAATAAAACAAATCAATGTTTCATATAACACAACATTTTGTTAAATTTGAATTAATTACATTCAAAAAGCCGAGGGGCTTTTTTGTTAAAGAAAAAAAAGTATATTATTTTCTTTAAATTATGGCTTTCAATAATAATGCAAAGAAAACCCGCATTCGATAAAAGATTTGGCGATAGGCAGATTTTTCACACACACACACACATACACACATACACAGACACCCACCATGTATAAATTTTCCTTGATTACAAAGGAAAAGCCATAATCGTACCTATGATACCCTACTACTATTACTTTAATAATAAGTATGGATGCTCTTCGCATCCAGCATCATGCCTGCCTTAGTGGTTGGTAAAGTGTTCATGTATCAAAGCGAATTTTAAGTAAATGATGTGTAAAATTTGTGTCGATTTTTGAACTTCTTATCAGAACACAAGTTTAATTAGATCGAAATACGAGAACAAGTTATTAATAAAAATCGAGAAATTTTCAAATGCAAAATATTTGCCAAAAGAATATAAAAACGTGGCTTTAATCACGAATTTATTATACCCATCCCCGAAGAATGTTGGGTATATTCATTTTTTCAAACCGTTTGAAACGCTCAGAACGAATCTTTAGAGACCCCATAATGTACATACATATATACTCTATCAGCATCAAATTCTAAATTGATGTAAGCATGTCCGTCTTTCCGACTGTTGTAAATATTCTCGTGACCGCAACAAAGCTATCGACTTCAAATTTGTCGCAAACACTGGAAATTCATGCACGCAGATTGGTATTGAAAATGGACCATATCGTTCGAAGGACATGCCCACACCGCTCTCGCTCGTTTTTCGTTCATTACTCATAGACTGTAGCAAACAAATCTGCAAAAATTTTAACACGTATTCTATAAACTACGCTAACCACGCCTATTATAATGTATTAAAATTTAATTTTTTTTCAATACCTTTAAAAGGGAGGGAAATAATCTTCAAAAACCAAATTCTTGGAATGTTTCAAATTTGGAATGGACCTAAATATGACTGAAACTTTTCACAGGACACGTCCAACACGTCCACACGCCTATATGACAAAAACTTTTATTTTGAAAATAGAAAAAATTAGCTGCGTCTGTTCCATATTACGGAAGATGAAAATATAGTTCTTTTCCTGTTTTTGTCCTTTTTGGGGATAACGGTGAGGGGCATAAAAGATTCGGTTACAACCGAATATAATTTTCTTAGTTGCTTTTTATTGCGTTATATTCAATGGCTTGGGCTACAGCTTCTTTATGTGAATGTCGTTATCTTTTCATTATTGACGGCTTAACATACACTCATCTTCTCCTCATAATCATTTTCTGATTCGATCCATTCGTCCCAACGGTGCAACATACAAGCTGCAATTTTTAAGATATTTCAACGAAGTTCGATACGCTGATATTTTTTTTGCCGAAAGACGAATGCTGTTCAAAATGAACTGGTTCGGATCACTTTTGCGATGTGTGTTGTACAAAAAAATTTTTTATTTTTAATATCACGCGACAAAATCATTGAGTGTATTTCGAAATAGTAAGTGCATGTGAAAAATTTGAATAGAATACTAAAACTTTTTTAATTTCCTCCCAAATAGATTTAAAGGAGAAGTCTTTCTACAGCAAAACAGTCAAACTTTTAATATTTTAGAGGAAAAATTCGTGAGTTATAATATGTCGCCTTCTTACGACCAGTAAGCCTTTATATGACAAACTAGCCTAACTATAGATACTTTGTGACGGAAACAGTTAAAGAATCCTTAAGATCTTGTATAAAATCTTCGTACATTTGGACCACATCAGTTCACTCTGATATAAGTATACATATAACTGGAATCGATGTTTAATTTTAATATTAGTTTAATTTAATATTTACTTTAAGAGTCAATTGAACTCGACTGTCAATTTGATTTAGTTGAGTTTCTTGTATCAGTGGAATAAATAAATAAAATAAATCTTGGCCCATTTTTGTCACGAAAATAAACAAAGAATTGTATTAGGCGAAATGACGTAGGGTATTTAATAATCGGCCTTGCCTAAATACAATATTTCTCCTTGTTTATATATAAGACTGCATTTAAGATATAATGAAAGTGTATCATAATCCACGCTATCCGGTGAGTGTATTTTCAAGCATTTGATACTACATAACCAAATTATTGCACTCTATGACAATAGACAGGAAAAGAAATTATTTGCATAAATTTACACAAAAGTTGAAAAAGGTGTGGTATCTTCTCTAAGTGTCAGATACATTTAAGACAGCGGCCGGCATGCTAATGACTTCTGTATGAGTTGTAAGATACCAATGTTTTAATCTTTGCCAAATTCCACTAAATAATGATATACGAACGTTTGTAGAAATGTGAAAGTTTTTGCCATCAAGTGTACGCGACTTATCTGAAGAAGTTGGCATACATCATAATTATTTGGCTGCAGTATGAAATCAAAGTTCACTTAATGAACCGCACATACATTAAACTTTTTACATCTTTGATCTTTGATGCATTCGAATCTAGTCTTGCAAGTGAAAATTTGAGAGGACAGTTCATGTTGAAACGAAATTTGCCACAAGTTTGGCATAAGCTTTTCCGATGAGAATGGTATTTACCGAGCTTTCTTTTCAGTAATTCAACGCTTATTGCCTGTATGGTCTATCTTATCTTAAAAAAAACGTGTAAGCTACATTTCAATTAACTTGACATATTTTAAAAACGTGCTCTCTTACGCTGAAACGATCTTCGATTCGTCATATGCAATGCAATGTCGCGGCATATGCTCAAAAAAGAATAAAAAATATTAGCGTCATTTTCTGCCAAAAGTATTTAAAACTACATAAATAAAATAAGCGAACGCCTGTACATTAAACAAGTAAAATTATGATAGTAGCCTTCTGTTTAATACCCTACGCCACTTCGCTTAATGCAGTTCTTTACAACACGACTTTTCAAAATAAACCAAAGTGGACAGGCGGACGGATAAGCTTAGAACGATTCACAAAGTGATTACGTCTCGATCGGTGGATCTGTGTGAAGACCTTCTGGGTGTTATATGCACGCGCACTAATTTATACCGCAACTGATAAAAATAAACTCATAATTTAAAAGGTCTATCGATTTTTACATTGCATCGTAGCGTGTTTCTTAATGTCACGGTGCTATTTCGCGTTCGCGCGTGTGCCAAAAATAGTTAGTTCCGTATATTGACAGTGGGTTGAAATTTGTTTTGATATTTCAAGAATTATCGCCACTTTTCACGTATGCGAAGCAAACTGACCACCTATAAGCGGAGAGAATGTCGCTGACGAAAGAAACTATGTGTCGGAAATTAGTTATCAAACTTTGCTGCGAAAATTCGCGCATCCATTAACCTCATCAGTCTGATTTCAACTTATAACAAGCGATCTGAATCTAATCTATAATATGTTTAAGTCAACTTCGGCGTACATTTAATGGCTAGAAATGCAGAGACCATACATGACGTGAAATCAAAAATCATTTCAAAACCGATATCGCGCTTACCTGAGTCGAATAAAGTAAGCTTATCATTCCCTGCTTATCAGACTTTTGATAAATGTTGCTGCATGTCTAGATATATGTTTTTGTAGTCAATTTTAGAAATGCAGTTTAAGAGTGGTCGTGATGCACTTTGATTGGTCAGAAAAAGCAAAGAAAGTATCGCAAAGAAGGCTAAAGTTTTGACAAATGTATTGTAAAGTAAGTTGTTGGCATTGCGTTTCTTTCCGGGGTTTCGAACTCCTTTTTGCAGTCCGCTCTTCTCAAATGATTTCAAACTGTGATATAGTTGACGCTTAGTGCCTCCGCTATTCCTGGCCAAATATTATCGACCGGAGCGAGATGCATTTTTGACATCAAAATTTCGGAAACGGAATCGAGGAAATCACTCCTGCGTTCTTACTGTACACCTCGTATTTTCTTTCCTTTTTTGCAACGTTTTCAACTTTTTTCTAATAAAAAGGCATCACATAGCGTATTTATATTCATAGTTATCTCAATCATTTTCAAATCAATATAACTTTTTAGACGAGCAAAGAATTAGAAAGCTATCTGGACCAAAAATGTAACCGGAAATGTCATCTTTTAAGCACATGTTCGTTTGGGACAATCAGGTGAGTGTTGTCCGATATGTAGGCATTAAGACCATCATGCGGAAAAGATCGCAAAATCTTTTTACCCGACCCAATATGTAAGAGTTATTGATCCCAAATATTTATAAGATCCATTTAAAAGATTAAAACTCAGTCCTATAAGCAATTATTTTTAAAGTGGTTAAGAACCAAGATGTATGGATAGCTATTTTTGTATTTCCTTTTGATGTGGTCCGCAATGCTTAACAGCTTGAAGAGGCTATGGTATTTACTTAACGCGGTAGCCTGCTAACGACCGGGCGTTAATGGAGACAAAATTCGACCATAAAATGTACCTTTGGTCTCGTAATGCACCATTAACGGTGAATAAATAGCATATTTATGCAAAATTTATCTTTTAATGGGTTAACGGCCTTTTCTATGACGATTTATGTTAAATATTACTGTCACACGAGAGGTATTTTTAACGCAAACCAAAATTAATATCTAATATAAATATATATATATATATATATGTATATATATATATATATGTATATTGTTTTTTTATACACAAAACATTATAGAGAGAAATTGTTAAAATAACAACAAGTTGTTTAAGTTATAATATAAATTATCGTCTCTAAGAGAATAGTAAGAGAGCAAAGTAAAGTGACTGCGAAAAAGCGCATGTACAAGGAAAAGCTATCACAGCACATCACATATTTTGTATAGAAAGTAAGTGATATTTTGTTAAAATCTTTGCAAAGATGGTCGCAAAAGATATGCAAAAATTGCAAAACAAATTTTTCTTATTTTTTACAATTTTCATAACATAAATAAAAATCAAGGAATGAATTGCTTACGCTATTATAGTATAATTATTTGAAAACCGTACTGCTTTTAATAACATTTGCCTGACTGTTATAGAAGGGATAACGTTTGCGAGCATAACGTAGAGGAAGTAGAGGTATTATACATATGTGTGTATCTGTCTGTTATGTTGCAGAAATCCTTGCTGTATGAAACTTTGATATCAGTAAGACAATTCATGTTGTGTCAGTTGTTGTTTAGTCTTTGAAACCGGTAGACGGGCCTCCAGCTCTGGTCCAGCAATCAAACGTAGCTATTATTCAGGCTTAACTGAAAAGACACGTTTAAAAATTCTTAACAGGTTAAATAAATGGCGAAACATAACGCCAATGTCAAACATCAAATAATCGCGACTAAAAAAAAAAAGGCTGCTCTTCCCCAACCGAATCAAATGAATAAAAAATAAAAATAGAAAATAGAGAAAAAAAAAAGAAAAGGAAAATGTCGGTGATTTGTCAGTGAATAGCAGTCAGTGAATATTATGGCAAACGCGTCTTCGATCCACTTGTGTCTGTCTATGCTGTTTGCGAACGTGAGTGTTTAAGACACTGGGAATTGATGGCATTGTTTGCTTTAATCTTGCCGTTTGTTGTTGCTACTATCGCGCAGTGGTTGATATGCAAGTGTTGACAGGACTTTGATTAGCATTCAGATTATGTTGTTTTGCTTTTTAGTAATCGAGATACAACGACGAGTTGAAAATGCATTCCCCCATATAAATGAATGAATTCAATTATTAGTTGTTGTTGTTGTTGTTTTTTTATTTTTATTTATTTTTTTTCATAATACACAACGGGACATATAAACATTATTATTTATGTTAATAGAAAAGGAAAACAAACAAACTACAAACCATAAATTGTACTATTGAATACTAATATCTCTGGTTGATCGCAAAAAAAGTATTTGCCAAATTGTTCTAAAACGTACAAAACCCTTTAATTTTAGTTAGCGTATACGATTTTTTCAATCGTCTTATATTTTCTTATATTTATTTATCTATTTATTTACTGATCTAAATCAAATTCTGATCCGTTCTCAGATTGATTCAAATCGCATATATATATATTTTTTGTTGTTGTTTTTTAACATAGGTGTGTCTCTGCTTCCGTCATAAGGTTTCCCGATAGTTATACACTTTGCGAACACTTGCGATTCGAAAAATTGCTTGAAAAAAATAATTTTTTCGAGACAGCGAAGATAAAATAAGAAATTAAAATTTTGGAAAAATTAAAAAAAAAAAAAAAATAAATAAATAAAGTTAAATTATAGAAAGTGAAAAAATCGGAGTCAAATCTAATACTTAAACTTAATTATGATATGTTAAAGCATAGAGACACTAATAGAGATTTCACGTAAAATCGATGCGCTCAGAACGCTTGAATAAAATTATTAGAAGGTGAGTGACCGCCGATTACGGCATTTTATAACATTTTTAAAATTACATCTAACTGAATGCGTAAGAGCGCAAATATATACCAAGGGCTTGAAGTATACTAACATTTAAGATTTGTATTAGAAGCGAATACAAAAATTGTCTTGATCACATGGCCAGAATTCGATAAAGTATTGAAGAATGTATTAAAAACGAAGTGACATTCTTTTCGAAGATTCCCCAAAATGTATTTGTAAAACTTATCTAAACTTGTCCATCCATCCTTCCATTTGCTGCAATGACAGGCATTTCAAAAGGTTAACACTTTTGACAATTATCTTATTAAAGCTTTGGTCCTCTTCTTTTTTGAGGCTCTGCTAAAAGAAAGAGAAAGAGAAAGAGAAAGGAAGAGAGATTGATAAATGATGGATGGAATAGGGTGGACTTGCATTAAAATCGATTAAAGGCTCGCCGTCTGGCAAAGTTAATCCAGATCCGCTCGCCGTTCATATCACTTTATCGATTTTCTTCTGCTCTCTTCTTCCTTCATACATGTTACTAAGCTTTATATAAAAGTTTGACAAATGTTGATGGGGCCTTTTTTAAAGTGTCGGTACAAATTGCGCACTACTGAAGCACTAAGATATCGTTTGAGATCATGTGATTCCTAAAATTAAACACAATATATCGATAAAAATTCTCGCACAAGGACAGTGTGACAATAAATTGATTCTCCATAAATTGGAATTTATTCTTTTAAGCTCCGCTAAACAATCCGTTCATCGCAAGAAAATCCATCATTAGGCATCTACGGGCGGTCAAATTGATTCAACCCAGTTAAATGTTTCCCTCCACGATCAGCCGGCTAATTCAGAGATATAAACGTGAATTTAATGCATATTTAAGGTATGGGACAGTTTCACATAAAATGCAACTTTTAAGTTAATAGAAATCATTGAACAGAGTTCACTGTCTGCTTAGAAGAGTACACCACGAAAGATACTCTTAGTTATAAGTTAACACATGAAATAACATAAAACTTCTGTCAGATATTAATGATGGTCATAAAATCATGTAAACCTAATAAAGTGATACAAGTCAGTGATATAAAGATAACAACGGGAGGCGCGAATAAAAATTCATCTTATTTCTTGAACGACGCTACACATTAAAATTAACTGAAGTATGTGCGTGTAGTCGATAAAGTCATCCCAACCTTTGTGAGCTCATTATGTTAAGATGAATTACTAATGCCCCAAGAAAAGCAACAGAGCCTTTTGCCGCAAAAACCAAATGATGCTCAACTTAATATATTAGATTTTGACGATATCACATCTTATGCAAATTTTCTCATAAATTCCCCTCATTTTACTAACAAAAGAAACGAAGTTCACAATGACATATTTCACAGCGTATATTTACCATAAAAATATGGATTTGTGGTAGTTTATTAAAGAGCCAGAAACTGACAGTACAACTGACAATTTGCTATTAATACCGACGAACCAATTATTTTAAGAAAAGTAAGTAAAAATTGTTCATTGCTTAATGTCGTATGAAAAGTAAATTATTTCAGCGTCACAAGCATCAAATGGTGTTGAAGTTAAATGAAACATTGAACAAATCATAGATTGCAGTAATTTTTCATAAATTCGCCTCTTTTTAGGTTATAATAGGCGACTTGTCGTTTGTTGCAACGCGTTTGTATGTTATTTTAGAATTTATCGTTTGTCCGTAGCGTACGATAGACGTTTCAATAAGTAAATGGGTCTTGTGAAAAAATTCGAATTGATCAACGAAATCATGCGCGGTTATAAGACACACAAAAGTGTAAGAAATGAAGTGTTTATTGGGGACTATGAGGGACGAATCTTTATGGTCTTCCATACATTGCGTTTTAGCACTGCTTTTGATGGAAACCATTATTGCCCCATGAAGTTGGGAAGGTAAACTCCGAAACTCACCTTGAAAGGAAAAGTAAAAATCCATGTATCAAGCGGTCGACAGTAGAGATATTTTAAATGGTATTATGAGGGATTTTATATTTGTATTAATTTTACCGCTTGTTCTCGGAAAAAGTGTTCTTGCCATCGGGATTTAATCTGTAGGCAAAAAAAGTATTTGAGGTTTCCGGTTATGTGAGTGTAATTTTATAGGAAATACAGTAAGATTTACCCAAGACTTTACAGTGTATATGGGCGCAGTTGCAGCTGACCTGCCTTATGGATCTCTATAAGCCAAATAGTCAGTAGAAGTTCTTGAATGAAATGCGAACAAATTTCGGAATAACACGGATTAATAAAACGCAAGATCACACATGAATGAAGAGAACAAAAACACTTATACATAAATAAATTATCGAAGAAACTTCAATATTTGCTTCGGAAATGAAACCAAAAATATGCAATGTTTCGCTGAACATTTAGCCAGTTTCATCCCAAACTATTCTAAATCAAATCGAAGAAGCACTGTAAGCGGATAAATATTCATTCGATCTAATTATGCTAAATGCATTTTTTTCAGTTTACTTATTATTCGCAATGTTCGAATTCTAATCATCACCGTTTATATAAAATTATTCTTGCCTTAAGGAGCTAAACCATTGGCAATTTTTCAGGAGAAAAAAGTTTGTTCTTAATAGCTTAACGGATGCTTTAAACCCTTTAGAATATGTGGAGCAAAAATCATTACATGGGAGAAACTCTTCCTCAGTAAACAGTGCCTGGGTCAAATGAATATCAGCTGGGCAGTTGGTGACGTCTAACTTCTCCTTCAGTATCCTTTCAGATGTCGTTACGATATATTTATTGATATTCGCTTATAAACATTTCCAAAGACAACAAGTAAGAACATCATTGTCGGGCAAGACTGATCATGAAATGCCTTTCGCCTAGTAGATTTATTCACTATTTTCATGCAAAGACACACATTGCTTGAAAGCCCGCATATTGGAGGGTGTCCGAAACATCATATGGCTTGATTCAAATTTTGCAAGCTTCATTTATTTTCCAAAAGCTCTACTATTTTTCAATTTCGGCCATGGAAAATTAGAAATTATGCTTTCCTTTCATTTAAGAGCTTGCTTCTCATGATAACTCTTATATATGCTGGGATATAAAAAATATACCTATCTGGTCCAAATTCCCCGGTGTTAATTTTTTCTGATAATTTGCTATTATGAACCAATTTTCATCATAAAATTATAAAATTGAAATCTTTCTCTGCAGGTCTTACTATTTAATGGAAATATTATATAGAATTGGGTCCCGTGTAGATCAAATTTTGTCCGCTTAATTTTTACGTCAAATTACTATCTTGAGCAAATTTTCATTATAAAGCCGCCTTTCTTGCACATAAGGGTTCACTTCTTCTAAGAATTCAAACATTGGTATTCAAACATTGACTTACGTGATTCAAATTCGATAAGTTTGATTTCCTTGTCAATTTAGTATTATGAACGATGACATATTAAAAATTTTACCTTTTTACCACATAAAGATTCCGTTTTCGTAGAAAGGGTTATATAAGAGCGGCTTCAAAAAAATTGCTTCAACTGGTCCAAAGTTTTCACACCAATTTACAATGCCGAAATACTGTGGCTTAGCCGTTTTTGTCGGAAAGTCTTAAAAATTGCAATTTTTTTTCCATATAACCACTTTTTTTGACTGCAGCGTTGTATGGAGAGATGTCGAAAAAGTGTACTGATCCAAACCATTTTCAATAGTTCGTTCTTGAGTCAAAGTACATCCAAATGTCTCTAAAATGTCTTGTGATCTGTAGCTTGAAAACAAAACACAAATGAGTGGACATCATACGGAAGGACGGACAAGCAAAAGGGCTTACATCGCTTCAAGGAATGTTTCTGAATCAGTTAGTATAAGAAAAAGTGGGACTATCTTAAGCCCTTCGGCGTGTTACATATGTTCGCACGAACTTTGCATACCCTGTACCACAAGTGCTCTAGGATATAAATATATCTTTTGTAACTTAAGATCTTTGAGCGGACTTGTGATTGATGACGATTTAAGATCTTTCAAGGCTTCTGCTAAGAAGTTAAGTTTGGCTACAGCCAAACCGTTTTCGCTTCCATTTCGAAACACGTAAAGGGTAAAACATGCTTTTCTGTCTCCGGCATGAAATTCTCGAGCAAAGGGAGAAAGGAAAAACATTTGAACACCATACGGGGATTGTTGGCGAATGAAAAAAAAAGAAGATAGCAAATGCTTTGCAATAAAACGCTATGATTGTAACGAACGCATTTAAAAAACAGCAAAGGAGATCATGCAAATATTTTTACAATCTTCACCCTTTTCTCGTCACTTTTATATGACATCTTTCAAGGAACATTCTCGAAAGGAATATATAGTGGATTTTCGATTAATTAACCTAAGCTGTTTATACATCCTGCGGTAAAAGGCTATATTAAGTTCTAGCGCGTGTATGCAATATCTAGAAGGACTTGAGATAATCCCGCTTTTCATGTATGTATGATGTGAGCTTGTTTGTCCTTTTTATCTTTTTTTGTGTTTAGCGTACTGCTCATTATTTTTTAGCGTTTTGCTTCTTCGACCTGATTTAACGCAAGCATACACGCTTTTGAAAACGATTCGAGTCGGACCACTTTTTCGACCACTTGCCATGTGACGTCTTATTTTGCATAATCATTATATGAAGAACTAGATAATAGAATGGTCTGCGATATTGAATGGAACACCGTGGCCCATTATACTGTTTTTACCTATCTTATTAACAAAAGATTGCCTTTGCTTTGGCGAGAAAATGG